CTCGTTTAGGATGCCCGGTGTCGACAATCCGGCTGATATTCTCACAAAGCCTTTACCGGCTGAGGTACACAACCGTCACACCCAGTCTCTTGGCCTCGTTCCGTATCGCCTCACCAAGGGGGAGTGTTGAAGCGCCTAGTGGCTCTGGCCCGGCATTCCGCCCGGCATGGACTTAAGGTGGACATCTTAGATTAGGCGCTGCGAATACGTAGATAGTGATTGGACAATCATATGTAGTGCTCCCACGCACGGACCTCTTTATGGCAGGCTTCCCCATTCTAGCGGACTTTCAATTTTGCTTCCTTTTAGTATATAAGGACTCCTCTCGCATCCCCACTCTGCGTGCTCTTTCCCTTCGCACTCAGAGTAAGTCCCCTTCGTCGCCCTTGCGCATTGTGTAGTATGCTCACCGGACCCCTGTCTAGCTAACACCGTGTGTATTAGGTACATAGCTATACAGCGTGCTCTTTCCCTTCGCACTCAGACTAACACCGTGTGTATTAGATCGTGCCCGCGTGCCACTCGCCAGTTCGCGCTCGCGCAGCCCAGTAGTCGTATCACGACAATATGTTGTTGTCGTCGTCGTCATCGTTGCTGACTCAGACGGCGGACAATAAACATATCTTGTTGTTGCTGACTTCAAACAAGTCAAGACGCGACAGCGGACATGTCTTGTCGTTGCCGGGCGCCATCTCGGTGAACGAGATATCAGTGCGTCTCCCACCCTTAATCGAACTTGAACCTCGCCCGCTTCCGAGTCCATCTTGCTTGCTCCAGCTACGCCCGAATTATTGCTGTCTGCCCCAATGGGAACGGAAAAAGAAGCCCTTTTGACAGTGGTGAGCTCTCGTTGAGTAGCAGAAAACTCGTAGAAGTGAGCTCAGTGTTCCTGCCAGGCTTGTAACGCAATCCGGACGGTCATCCTGAACGGCCGCGCCGTAGATGGCGAACATCGTCCGCTCGTATTTCGCTGGGCGGTTGGAGTGCGAAATCCAAGGCTGCTTGTTCCGCCTATCGTCGCTGCGACGGAGGACACCCGTCCGCCACTCCCGCCACTCCCGCCAGCTGGCGATCTGATGCTGTCGCTCTCCTTGGGACTTCAGCTCGGATATGGTCGCTCCGGGATAGTCTACGAAGCTACAGTGAACTGTGAGGGAACAAGTCCCCATTTGCTCTCATCCCTCCCGCCCATGGTAGTCAAACTGTCGTATCGTGGACAACGGGCCGGGCTTGCGCACGATGCGTATTACTACGACTTCATGCGCGCGATACAGGGTGTCTCCATACCCCGGTGTTACGGCCATTTCGGCGCTCGGGTTCCTGCCAGCACTCATCTGGTCCACTCTCCGGCCGGCGATGACGAGCCCGCCATCATTGACAACACTCCGCAACGTCCCTACGAAGGTGTTCAAAAGACTCTAAATCCACAAATCGAATTAGGAGAGCCTATTGACTCGGATGTTGAGGAATTAGAAGAGATCCCGGATTACATATCAATCTTAGTTCTGGAACGGCTAGGCGGGTACTTACCCATTGGCGAACCGCTGCCTGAATCCCTCATGTGAGTCCACTGACACCACTCAACTCCTTATTATTATATCGGTTTAGTGACCTCAGACCAACTTCACAGCAAAGACGTTAACGATATCTATGACGACCTGGCTCACATGCGCGTCTGGACCGATGATATCAGGTACACGAATATCTTGAGAGCGCCGCTATCCCCGCCGGGTATTCCAGGGCTCGTGTGCCCATTCCATAACTATGTTCACGAGTGGAGACTTGTTGACTTTGAGCACGCTCGGGAGACCAACCTCTCGCTCCAGAGACATGCATGGTGTACGAGCGGATGGCTTCAAGACCAGATCTTAGATCATCTTCCCAGTGGATTTTACTTGGACCCCGAGGTAGAATCAGTGTAATGCGGTAGAGACTACGGATTAGTTTGAGATGTTATATTACGTCTTGGCTTGCTCTCTGGTGCGTGCGCGTGCTGAACAAGGTAAAGTACCGTCGATTGTCGCATGTTGCTGAAGCATGCGCAATGGCGGTCTTGCAGCACAGTCGTTCTCGAAATGATTGAGAAACGCATCCAAAATGTCGTGTGTGCCTCGTGATCACCAGCCTGCACATTTGTTGTGCACAAAGAGCCCACGAGGTTGGAACAAGTTCAGAAGCACCATCCCAACAGCCATACAGGAAGACGCAGAGTACGTGGGCCTTAGCTTTGCTCCGCGATAACGACCTTCTTCCGCTCCGCCTTCGGCTTGCTCGCTCCCGCACGCGTATGCTTGCGTCGGCGCACTTCCTTGACCCGACGTGCCTCCAACATCGTCCGTTTGAGCTGCGCCGCTTTGTACACCGGCTTGGGCACGTGGCGGGTCCTGCAAAGAGCCAGTGAACACGACGGTGCGAGTAACGCCTACGCCTACGTACCGTTGGATTTTCCCGACTTCGGGATCAAACTTCCACTTCTCCTTGAGGCTGTCGCGGTATTCGATCGCAGCGCGCTCACGCGTGGTAATGACGCCGAGCTTCTCCGAAGCTTTCGCCTTCCATATACGCACGTTGCCGTCGTCTGAGCCAGACATGACGAACCGCGCATCGGCAGAGAACAGTGTCGACGTGACACTGGGCAGGGCGGTCAGACCGGCCCTCAGGATGCAGGAGAGGGAGGAGATGCTGCTCACCGCTGCATGCGTTTCGTATGGTACACTTCAGGGCGCGTCCCGGCACCCTCTTTCCATATCCGCACAGTGCGGTCCCAGCCACCGCTAACAAACTCAAGCCCCGTCGGGCTCCAGTCGCATGATGTGACCGCGGCGACGTGGCCCTTGTATATTTGCGTGGGTGTGTTGAGGGAGCGAACATCGAATGTGTAGAGGCTGTGGTCCTCCGAAGCCAGAAGAACGGACGTGGGGAACGTCGGTGACCATGAGAGAGCGTTACTCCGCATCTTCGGCATTTAGTAAGCACAAAAAATTGCAGTAGGTGAAGGGCACTCGTGCTTACGTGCATAACTACGCGCCGTTCGGCTTTGCCAGTACGAATATCGTATAGAGTGAATGTTCGGTCGGAGCCTATGCTGGCGAGGACTGATGACTCTGCCAAGTTGAATTTTACCACAGAAATCGTCTCAATGGAGGTGGGGAAGGTAAGGTTGGATATTGGTGCGCTCCTATACAACGGAACAAGTGAGAATTTGTAATGGGTCACAAGATGGCTCGTGCATACTTTGTCTCATCCCAGACTTGCACTATAGTAGATGCAGTCGCAAACAGGGGATCCGAGCGGTGATGATCTATTGAGCTAAACTCCGGTATCAAGCTTTGTGTGCCGAAAGGAAAGCGATGAGGGTGAAGCATACTTAAAAGCGGTCTTTCCGGGGAAGATGCTCAAAGGCTTCCGTGACTATGAAAATTTAAGCCGACATACTCATGCAGCATAAATTGGTACTCACCTCTGAGGGGCCCGCACCATTCTCATCGACTTCTCGTATATCCCAAAGTTTAACGTTGCGATCAACTCCACAGCTCAGGAGCCGATGTTCATCGGCGAAGCAGACACCGGTGACCTTGCCCTTGTGTGCCTCGTTTGCCCGCATCAAATGCGTGCGTTCGGCAATGTCATGCACAATGAGACCTGTTGGGGGTGAAGGGGTCCAGGTCAGGCCGAAAAGGCACTGGTCGCGTCCCTTCGTGACACGTACACACCTCCATCCCAGCTGCCGCTGGCAACTGCGGTCAAAGACTCCGGTCTCCGTGACATTGTTTCTATGGCCTCCAGATGACCTTCCAGCGCTGCGACGAACGGCTTCGCGAAGATGCGTTCAATTTTCGCTGCATTAAGCGCACGGGTACGTTCTCTTGCTTTGGCAAAGGGATGCATCAATGGATCCAAGTTTCTCGATGTAGGGGTAGGATCTCCGGGACGATTTGGCAGGTGGGCCGAGGGCGCATGCTGCAGCACGGATATTTTCTGGACGTAACGCCGTATGTAAGGTCCGCAATACTTGGCAGAACTGAGGGACGCACCACCATCGTCTTTTACTTTTCCTACACTTTGTCTTTGGCTGATAAAACCAATTTTTTTGGCGAGTACTGACTTCAAACGCCTATGGCAGGACGGTAAGTGAAGGAAACCCAGGCGTCCCAGGCAAAATCAAGCGTTCGTAATGTCACGTGGAATTAAGCGCACAGTGAGCAGTGCGGGTTCGCAATTGGCCTCGCATTGTCTCTCTTTGTTCAACCTCGCCTGTTGTTTCCCTTTCACAACATTTCTTTTTACATAAACATCTAAGATGTCCGACTCGGAAGGGGACTTCTCTGACGAACTCCTCGAGCTCGCCGGAGCCACCGAGAAGAAGCGACGTAAACGCCAAGCGGACAAGTCCATGAAGCGGCGAAGAGCAGAGTAAGTGTTAACACCGCAGTTGCATGAACATTCCGATACTTATATCATCCAAACAGTGCCGTCCATTCAGACTCGGAATCTGACCATGCACACCCAGCAAGTGACAAAGATGACAACTCGAATCCTTACCCGCTGGAGGGGAAGTACATTGACGACACGGACAGGTCCCGGTATTTACTCTCCTTTCCTTACAATGATATATGTCTTAAATTCTATCATGAAGCCTGATGGAGATGACCGAGATTGAGCGAGAGGACATTCTTGCGCAGCGCCAGGAAGAGATACAGCGTATACAAGACAAGCGCAACTTGGACGCGATGCTGCGAGACCGTACCGGAACGGGAGAAGATTCCGTATCAAAGGCTGCGAAACGTCAGTCTCGTACCCTTGAGTTCCTTGATACCTCGCTCACGAATGTCCAGGCCAACATGCTCAGCGTGGCGCCACGAGGGAAAAGTCGCGGAAGCTTGATGAGCTCAAGGCGAAACGCAAGGCCAAAGACGAAAAGAAACGCGTACGTCCCTTCTAGTTTCTGTTCAAGCTTCTGGTGCTCATCATTCGTAGACCAGAACTGACTCGCCACGGCGCGATCGCTCGTCTTCTCCGATGGACATGGAGACTTCGGACGACGAAGAAGAGGACGGTCAAATTGACAAGTACGATATCTATGACGACAAGGAGCGGAGATCCAGCAACAGAGCCAAGGCCGATGACGCTCCGGCAATACTAGCGGAACTAATGTCTATCTTTCTAACAAGAGACCAGATTGCCAAGAATTACTATGCGCCCTGGTTTGAGGACCTCGTCAAAGGTCTGGGAAATAGCCACCTCGAAGGTTGTTAGGCTTATAATTTGCAGGGGCATGGGTGAGATACTGCATAGGATACGAAGATGGGCACTCAATATATCGCGCTTGCGAAATTGTCGGTACGTAGTCGACATCTTGCTCAACGAATTTCCAGCTAACCTCTCTCCCTCTCTTTAGAGGTGGCTCCCAAACTTGTCACTCCCTACAAGATCAACGAGCAACCCGCGAATCAAGAGCTCATACTTCGACATGGCGTATCGGAAAAGAGCTTTCCAATGAATATGATCTCCAACAGCAACGTGACAGATGTATGTGTGCTCACTATACCACTCTCCGTCCCTTGTACTCACAGCCAGATAGAAAGAGTGGAACCGTGTTGTTAGGGTCTGCGAAGCCGAGAATGTCAAGCTGCCGACACAGCACGAGGTTAACAAGAAGTTCTTGCAGATAAAGAAGCTGACTTCGCAGGCGCTTACCGAGGTGAGCCGCAAGGCCCTCCCTACGTCACTATAAACTTACAATGCTTTCTCAGGCCGATATCAGCGTAATGATAACCCGAAAAACACAGATGAACAAGAAACAAAATGCTGCACAGATCACGTTGGAGAAATCGCGTCTGAACCAGGCTCGAACACTTGCCCTACGCCGGAACGATCTTGTGGAAGTCGCAGACATTGATGCGAAGCTTATCGCCCTTACTGGCGAGACGACCGCTCGCCCAAGGAGTAGCCAGGCAGATGAACTTGCTAGACTCAACGAGCGTAACCGCAAGGCCAATATTGAAGCTGCTCGTAAGGCAGATATGCTTGAGTCGGAACGGAAGCGCAGGGAGCGCAAATTGGCACACGCCCATGGCGCCGCCACACCCGACCGCGTGAGAATGCTCAAGAATGGTGACTCAAGGTCTGTACTCCTCTATACCCATCATGTCTGGTATACGGCCCTGTTACTCGATATTAATCATCTCTTCCATGTTTTACCTGCTTGCCCACCATACCTCCAGGCCCGGTACCCCAGGAGTTCCTATCTCGAAAACTGAGGCCAGTACTCCCGCCCCCAGATCTGAATCACCTGCAGGATCGTCAAGTACAAAACCCGGCGATACTGGCGTTAGCTTCGAAACTTCTGTTCTGGACGACGTAGACATTGACCTGGGTGACTTCTAAATCTCTGCAAGAGTCGGCCAACAATTATCTGCTTCTATCGGTTATTCAAAACTCGTTATTTGGCCTGCTATCTGTATTCACAGCGCACGATGTCCCCCGATACCTACTGCTTTATTACCTTACATCCGTGTAACATACTGTTCTGGACAATACTACACTTACAGGGCGTATCTCAGCATGCTTCTTTGTGTTCCGGCTCGTTTCGTTAATCATTGGCTGCGCAGGCGTGCGCGCGGCTTTTTTTCTGTGACTCCCACCTTAAACATCTTACTCTCCTCTCTCGTTGTCTTAGCCGTCTGCGAAGATGGCCGAGCCCTCCCCAACGGCACCTCAGAGTTATCTGAGTCTCGTTGAGACGTGCGACAATTTCTCGCCTGCGCGCTCTGCAGAGAAGCTGGCCACTTGGCGTCTTGCTCCTGGACCATCATCTCCTGCCATCGGCCTCCTTCGACCCTCTGTCGTCTTGCAACTCATCAACGAGAACAAAGGTACCCCAGATGAACAGAAACCTTGGAGTTTCTTCCTCGACGACACGGACAAACCGGCGATGACCTTCGCACCCTGGGTAGATACACCCGCGAAGCGCACCGCGGTCATGCAGGAGATGCTCGAGCGCTGGCGCGACACGGGGCTCTACCCAAACGTTATCGGGCCCCGGAAATGGCGCGGGGAAATGTACCCCATCTACCGAAACCCGTTCGGGAAGAACGACGCGCCGCTCGAGGAGGCGGGCGACGAGAGCGGCCTGAACTACGCGTTCAGGATGGAGCGCGCCGCGTGCGCCCTCTTCGGGACGGTCACCTATGGCGTGCACATGAACGTCTTCCTCGATGACCCCGTGCACGGCTGCAGGATCTGGGTGCCGAAGCGGGCGAAGACGAAGCAGACCTGGCCGGGGTACTTCGACAACAGCGTCGCTGGCGGAATTCCGGCTGGTCTTGGCCCGTTCGAGTCGCTTGTCAAGGAGAGCATGGAGGAGGCGAGTATTGCGGAGGAGGTCGTCAGGAGCCACGCAAGGGCAGTGGGGAGCATCAGCTACTTCTTCAGGTGCGTCTGTTGGCTCTTTTGTGTTTGGGAGATGCTTACGGTTCGTACACAGCACTTCTGAAGGGTGGCTGCAGCCGGAAATCGAGTGAGCTTTCCGAATATTACTAATATCGCAAGCACTGATTGATATCACGACACGTCAAGATACTTGTACGACCTGCGAGTACCATCGAACGCCGATCCGGCGCCCTTCCAACCGAAACCTCTAGACGGGGAAGTCGAATCTTTTGAGGTGCGTCCCCAAACTTGGTAGATGTGCACCACTTGAATATATCTCTAGCTTTTGCCCCTGGAAGATATCGTTCCAAAGATGCGCGCGGGGCTATTCAAAGCCAATTGCGCGGGAGGTTAGTCTGCCAGTTAGCTGAACTTATAGCCTCTAACAGATTTTACCAAAGCTCTGATCGACTTTATGATACGACATGGTTATCTTACACCGGATAATGAACCCGACTTCCAAGAAATTATTACCCGGCTTCACGGAAGATTCGAGTATAATACATGGTGAAAACGCGAAGACTGTAAGCAGCGAGGTGTCACGACGGGCTTCACTGTAACTTTTGCAGTGTAAATAGAAGTAAAATGCCGATCAGTCCCACTCCTGGCGACTTACGTTTAGTGGGAAGCAAGAGTCGCAAATGGGTTCCATCTTCCGCAGCTGTTTCGGTATCTGGGCATGGCTGTGGTGTCTGTAAACGGCATATTTGCCACGAAATCATTCGGATATCTTTATCTTAGGTGAGTCCCAAGCATCCTGTGTCTGTCAATTTACTATCACCGCCGCATATTCCGGAGGATTTTATACGTTGCTGGGCGCTGTGTTGGCGCCTTCTACATAAACGGAAGTTGGAACGCCACAAAGCCATTGCTAAGCGCCTGTTGGTTATTTGTGACTGTTGGCAGCACAGGTGCAAGCGATTTGAGGCCCCTCCCTCTGCGGGCTGGTACGTGTACGTTTCTTCGAACTGGTCTTAATAATTCTTAGATTTCTAGCAGGTGTAATGTTGGAGCTGAGTGGCGACAAGACCGGCTTCCGATGTTTTACCACTTCCTGCATCTTGCGGGTGAAACCTGAACCAAAAACGTGCAGTTTGGCTCTGATATGGAATAAGATAGCTCTCCTCGGTATCAGTGCTTTTAATAAACGAGTTGCTCACCGTCAGCGAAGCGGCGGTAAGCCTTTATTTCCGACCCACAAAGGGTAATAATCATGCACCACGACGTCTCTAGAAACGGTGTGCCCTGACGCTCGCATGCCAATCGCTCACACCTGACTCCACAGAACGTCAAAACCGACACACCTGTTGAGCTCCATGCGGATTTAGTCCCTTTTCGGTGAGGCTGTTCAGAATGCGGGCCGTGGTACGTTCATTATCATTGAGAGAAGTGCACGAACACGATTCGTCATGTCACTGCACCCTCTGATACTTGACAAACTCAGGTACCCAAGGCCTGGACCTAGCGAATGCACAAGCCCTAGCCCTGCCAGGACCGCCAAGGCAGCTATCGATATCCGCCCGCTGCTGCGATGCGCTAAGTCGGGTTCGCTCAATCGCCTATCACATTCCCATCGTTGTCGCCGCTCCAGGTGGAGATGGTGAAACCAGGCTTAGCGTCCCGCCCGCTTCGCTTCCATGCTGCACAGCCGTCGGCTTATCTTGCGCCAGTTGCCATCGGGCGCACAATAGCTCCGCATCTGTCTTCATTCTCGTGAGTCGAGAGCACGCACATGCTAGCTAATACTCCCAAGCTCTGTGTACCATCTTGCTCCTAGAGCTATAATTGCTACTCACGAGCTGTTCTATTCCTGAGGCACGTTCAACGACACTGTCGATCTGGATCCTACAACTACCGGAGGCTTGCAAATTTACCGGACAATCTTGGAACATTTAGACTTTCCCTCGTCAAGCACATTGTGGGACCAGCACCATGACAGTGGTCAGGCAGCCAATCCATTGCGTGGCGTTTAAGCGGACTCAGGTAACATCTCACTTCTTTTCTACTCTGCGTCCTGACGCTAAGCAGAACAGAATCGCGCACTCAATTTCGTGTATGGCGTTTCTGCCAGCCATACAGCGCCCCGGTTGGAGCATGCTTACATTACTAAAAGAAAAAAATTGCTCTCGTCCAAAGAGCTACACATAGATCATGCGAAACGTGCATGTCCGCACCACCGCCGAACACGTTCCCAAAACGAAAGAAGCCTGCTTGTCTGGAGCTGAGGAGTAGCGCGCACTCTCTACGGCAAAGAGCACCAGCCGAGGCCAAGCCTGTAGGCTGTGCGGGCAGCCGCTGTCAAGCACACATAAATAGTGTCCCTTGCGGCTCTCCTGTTCCGTGTCTTGCCCCGCAAACCACTCTCCCCACAGACAAAAATGGCTGCTTCTACATCCTCTATGCGGCAGGTCCTCGTCGCGTCGCAGCGCGCACTAGGTCGGGGTGTGTCTGTTCATGCAGTCAGACGTCGCTCTATGAGTACGGCCGCCATGGCCCTACCTCTCGAGGAGCCATCCACCATTGACCTGCCCATCTTCGACATCTTCGACGCCCCCAGCCGCCTGGGGGAGTCCTCCAAAATGCTCGCCGAGGCGGCCAGGAGCCGTCCTGAGCGCGTCGCTAGCAGGGCCGTCGAGCGCGATGGCCCCGCACGCGCAACCGTAAAATCGCTCCCTCCACCGACGATCTACGATGGTCCAGCGAGGCCCAGGGGGCTTGCGCTGGGGCCTCGGGTGCGGGGGATGCACTCCCGGGCCATGCACACATCGGAGGCTCGTGAACTGCCAAGCGCATTGCCGCCTCCGGAGCTCTTCGACGGCCCTTCGCGCCTTCGTCCGTATACTCGGGATCGGATCTCATCAGATGACTCAGTAAGTTCAATCGATACGCCATACCGGTGTGTTCGGTATTGACTTGCTTTCAGGTATCCTTCGCTACCCTACTCGTTGGAGCGGCAGCGGCGGGAACTCTCGCTTACACTGCCTGGAGTAAGGTCGAGGAGAGGGCGGAGCAAGTCAAAAGGCAACGGTGAGCATTACGCATACCCTCTGAGCCACACAAAGCGCTTACGAACGGATCTCGACAGAGCTGAGCGACGTGCCACTTACCGGCAGGCTCACTTCTCATAGAGAAGCGTGGCTCCGCGTTGAGATGTAATAAATTAGCGGGCTCGTCTCCGGATTAATTCGCTGTAAAAATCTGCCTAATGTAGCATGTAAATTGGACCCTATTTGTATTATCTTCATGTATTGGGCACCGCAATGAGCGAATGGAAAATAGTCACCAAGAGATGCTAAGATGGCGTGTCCGCTCCCATGACATTCAGAGGACCCTATTAATGATCCGGGCTGTCAATAGCCGCTTTTAACGGATTGTTCACCGATGGTTGTAGGAATACCGTGCCGTGCCGGGCGGAAATTAGAAATCCTCGTAGCCTTCTTTCACAGCTTCGCTTTGTCTATTGGGACGCTTGAGGCCCGAGTAAAAATGATATCATCATCATATAGACGCAGGGTCCTGTTCTAATACACGCCGAATTGGCGACTCTGCCCAAGGCACGAAAACTTCACGTCGCTTGACAGTAAGTGGCAACGATCCGCAGGAACAGCGATTAAATGCAGAGAGCCCACAATCGCGAAGCAGCCTTCAGGATGCTTAAAGGCAAACGCTAAGATAACGTGAGCACTGCGTGCTCTAAGGCCAGTGAAAGCTCTTCAATGAGAAGTAGAAGCTCCAGAGACCTCGCGGTTCAGAGTACCCCTGGTCTTCTCTTGGTCGTATGTCGGCGGCCGTGGTACGTGGCGATCGCACAGGGCACAGCGTTAGCTTAGGCACGGTGCAGGCCAGGCCGCTCTGGAAAGCGCCTCCGATGCACTCCACCACTGTCGAAACTGGCAGCGGTCACATTGTACACAGGGTGCTGCGGCCGAAAGTGCCGGACGGCACGGAGTAGCAGAGAATCAATGTCTGAGAGGCTTGGTCGATCGGCGCACAGCAAATGTGCGGGGGAGAGAGGTTCTTGCCCAATGTAGGGTCCACGACTCCGCGCTACAGAGAATCCTCCTCCGTCTTCTAGATGTGCGCCAAAGTCTCACCGTAAGGCGAGCTCACGTACGAGGGTATTCAGTCTGGTAGTTTATACTCGGGTCAGCCCTTTAGATCCGTGCACAATTCAAAGCCGCACTCACCACGATGACAACTACTTTAAGCAGTAAGTCCCTTCCAGTTTATGGTATTTGCAGATGATGACGTGGGGGGTTATGATTTGAGGTCAAGCAACGCAGGAAAGTAGGACGTGCAGCTAAAGGCAGACAAAGGGGGTAAAGGGCTAGTGATATCCCTGATACATTACGATCGATGAGCAGTGAATAATACATACACAGCTAACTCAGTGAAACGAACGCGCACAACAAACAAATTTGCGAAGGAAAGCCGAGACATTAATCAACCGGGACAGCATTGACCTTGGGGGGCGCAGATACTAGATTAGCGTCAGAGTCCGTTCCAACGTTGGGTAATCGAGATGAGGGGAGAGGTGTAGGCTGTGATACTGGCGCAGGGAATATGCTGACCGGAGACATACGTAAATGTTTCTGGCCAAGAGGTATCGATGGCGGCACCGTGCTACTCATACTGCGCTCTCTCGTGAGAGGAGATTTAGGCCGAGTTGTTAGCGGTGGTGGTAGTGGTGGTGTGCGTCTTGTGTTCTTCGGGCTCACGGGTTTGGTCACAGTACCGCTTGATGCAGGCCCCGGAAGTGAGGGTCCGGGCAAAGGCTGGGAGTTACGAGTCGGCGAACGCACACTGCTACTCTGGGGCGGACTCAGAGGTAGCCTAATGATACCATTGCGTGGTGGTGACAGTAGCAGCGGGCTTCTGTGAGGTTGAGCGGTCGGTGAAAGCTGAGCTGGGGGTATGCGATTGGGTAATGATGACACGGGAAGGCGCTGCGAGACGGGAAGAGGTGGGAGATGCGCAGAAGCCGAAGACGATGGACGTGGAACGGCCGTTCCGTCGGATGTACTCCAAGATCCTCTACGAGAGGGCGCAACAGACGCGGGCGCAGTAGAAAAGCCTTGTGAGGCTTGAGGCGACGGTGGGTAGTTCCCACCGGACGATTGCGTGGGAGGTGTTACAAATGGCGGAGCCGATCGCTCATGCGGAAGTGGTGGCCTTGTCCGTTCACGCACAGCATCTGCTTGCGGGGCAAGCTGCTCATCGTTACCCTTCCGTGAGAGTGAACGTGAGGACACGGTCGACTGCACAGAGGGATGCAAGTCAATCACCTCGACAGGCATCCCAGCGTGCTGGCGCTGTGCTTCTGGATCTCTAATAGACATATGCGGGCTGTTGGCCGCGGAGGCGACGCCGTTCGATGCCGGACCAGGTAGTGGAGGAAGACTACCTTGGTGCTGTCCACTCGTGCTTGAGCCCAAGCCGTTGGATGAACCGCTGTGGTGGTGGACGACATGGTGGTGATGGTGGTGATGGTGGTGAGCACTATGCATATGACCGCCCTGGCTAGGGTGGATAAGATGTTGATGAGACGCGTGTCGTTGAACGGCGTGTGGTACATGATTGGACCTCTCCATTGCCCGTTCTAAATCGAGTTGTTCACGTTCTTGCTCTCGCTGACGATGTTCGCGACGCTCTTGCTCGATCTCCATGGCACGTTCGCGCTCCCTCCGGTCTCTGTAGTCGCGCTCTTTCTGCTTCTCAAGTTCCATCATGCGTTGACGTTCGCGTTCTCTGTCCATGAGAATCATGTCCTGGTCCATGGCATACCCCGCCACATCGATGCGTTTGGCCTCAGAGAGCCCAAGACCACTGGGACCTGGTCCCGGGATGGCAGAACGACCACTACCTTTCGTACTGATCGAAGACGGTCCCGCACCCATGACAGTCGAGCCATTGCCTACTGGATGAAGGGGGACTGGCGAGAGAGAGCGCCGGTTCCTTGATAGTGGGCCACCCGCAGGATATTGCTGCATCTGCGTACTTTGATGAGCAGAGCCCGACACTGGACGATGTGCAGAAGCAAACTCCTGCTCTATGAGCATTTGAGGATGAGCTATAGGTATAGAGCCTGACGGTGCAGAGTGGTGATGTTGCAATCGTGGTGGGGGAGCAACGCCGGGGTATGCCTGAACCATCTGCGGCGGCATTGCTGGAGGGAGCATCGGCGGTTGCTGGAAGGGCATATGTGGAGGGTACCGGTTAGGTGCGCCGGGGCCGTCAAGCACGCCTGGACCGACGTTGTAATGGTCAAATGCCGGTGGGCCAGGTACAGGGTGGGGGAACACGGGATGATTCATAACAAGCCCGGCGTTTCGACGATGGTTGAGCAGGAACTCGATATCGCCTGCGATCTCTCCTGGCGCCAAAGTGCTAAGCTGTGGATACGCGAGCAGAGAGGCAGAACCTGCATGCCGCCGAGATTCCGAAGAATCAAATGGAGAAGCTTTAACGAGATCCCGCAGGGTCGGAGGCGCGGCGATCTCGCGGGGTGGGCTCGGTATGCAGCGTACTGAAATTGGCACTTCGTAAGCACGGGATGCATACTATATTATAGGTTGACATACTAGGTTGCGGGCGCTCTAATGCGCGACGTTCCCGGTCCAATTGCCTACGCTTCCTGTGCGTCTCCGCGATCATCTCGGTTTGCAGTTCGTCGCGTCTGAACTATAAATCAAGTACGCGTCAGTATTTGGCCCTCGAAGATCAGAACGTAGACGCGTTCGTACCTGCCACCAGCTCCACACACCAGTTTCCTCTAACTTGCGGCGTTTTGTAACGTTCGCAGCCTCGTGTGTGCGTCGCTTTCGCGCAAGTTCCAAGCGCGTATCTTTGCGCTGGTCGAGCTCAGCGTGCAGATGTAGCATTTCAGGATGAATGCCTTTGCCTCAACCATCAGGACATGAATATTGGTCTGTCTTAACGCGCACCTTGATGAACCAAGGCCTCTTCCCATGCAAGTGCTTCCATCTTCTCCACGTATACCTTCTCTCGCAGCATCGCGTATTTGAACTCGATAGTAGCCAGGTAATCGAGGGCTTCTGCGCGGTGCGCGGGTTGCAGTTCCAGTTCCATGTCTATCTCTGGTGAATCTAGATCACCTTCGTCAACATCGGCTTCCTCAATGTCGGCCTCCGCAGGGATTGGATCCGTCTCGAGGTCCAGGTCTGGCTCGCCCTTTGCTTTTCGACGACTACGATTCCGGGTGGCCCGGCCGCTCCTGAGCTTCCCTCTCGTCTTGGGCGCGCCACGCTTGATACTTGTTTCGTTATCCGAAACATTGTCGGGTGAAGGAGACCTTGAGGGCGACCGCGAGCGGTTGTGGCCTGAGCCGGACGCGGTTGAAGTGGACGGAGAAGGAGAAGGGGGGTCAACGACTTCGGCACCGGCCATGATCGACGAAGCAGCAGCAGCTGCGACGATAGGAGAGACCTTCTCAGGGACTGGTGCGGTTTTGTCGACGTCCATGAGTGTGGCGCCGGGATCAACATCTCGGTCGACGGCGACGAGGGAGGTGGATGTAGGTAGCGGAGCACCAGAGGACGGTGCGGTGCTAGTGGCCGACTTCTGAGCGGCTTCGCTGTCTGAAGCTGCACACCCATCTTCGTTCGTTGGATCGTCATCTACAGCATTGTCACCTGCTGCGGGATCATCGTCTTCTTCCATAGGCTCGTCGTCGGTGGCCTCAGCGGAAGCAGCACCGCCTATCGGTTCACGCGACCGGGCCGCGTCTGCGCGTGGCACGAAATGGCTTTCGTCGTCTTCGGAGTTGTAGTCGAGGTCATTGCCAGTATCGTCAAGGGCCGGTGGTGCGGACGCCTCATCAGCAGACGCCGCATCATCCTCCTTGTCGCGGTCGCGGTCCTGCTCGTCGTCCGAACGCACGACCGCTAAACCGCCGCCATTGCTGCGCTTCCGCCGTCGTTCTGGCAACGGTGTTGTGGTAGACCTAGAGCGAGACGCACGGTCATCCTCCTCTTCCTCTTCCAAAGCCTTCGCAGGCCCTGACTGCTCTTCCTCCTCTTCCTCCTCGACCATCGTGTTCTTCCATTCCTTCTTGTTCTTGTAAGCCCAATCCCACATCGGTGCGGGGACTATTCCACCACGCTTTCGACGTTTTGTGGGGTGCAGTTGTTCCGTGCGATCGGTGTTGACGTTTTCCTGCTCGTCCTCGGTCAACTCTGAGAGCTCAGAGTCGCTATCGAGTCCTGCGCCTGCTCCACTATTGTTGGAGGTCGACGTTCGGGTTTCTGGTGGAGGCGGTGATGGGGATGGCGACGGCGAGCTGAGAGGCTCCAGCGACACTGTCGAGCTTGGCATCGTCGAGCACGACGAGCAGGTATGAAAGAGCCCAGGCGCCTACCGGACCTGACTTCAATGTTGTTCGGCGCTTGCCGATGTCGGTACGCCGAAGGCCCCTCAGAAAGGAAATCGATCGTTCCTTTCGGCCGGCCCGACGCCGAAACTGGTACCTCGGGGCGCCAAGATACCCTTGACCTCGAGCACGGCGGACTCGACGATGGTCTCAGCAGACAACCTCAACCTCGACTGTCTGGAACTGATTTTTGCACACTTGATCGGGAATGATTTATTCACAGTCTCTCTGGTCAGCAAGTCCTTTCTTGCGGGGGTCATACCATACCTGTACCGTACGCTTGTGTACCATCTTGGGAACGCGAAGCGGTATCCCTCTGTGAGTGGTTAATTAACTAAGTAGAGATTTTGCAGCTAACACGCATACATACAGGTGATGAATCCATTTGAGACTGTCGCAAAACACCGGAGCCTTGCGGTACACGTGCACAACATCGGTTAGTAGCCTCGCACGCTCTGAAATCAAGGCTGACCGCTGGATGGCAGATATCCGAACAGTACCGTATGTAAAGGCGTCTGTGCAGCCTCAACCCAAATTTATGGTCAACCTTCTCGAATCAATGAACCTATGTACGAATCTGCGGACGTTTACCTGCACTCCCAACATTTTGCCAGCCCTCCTACTACCTCTCAAGCAACACGCGAATCTCCAAGGCGTCCGGATCAACGCCACTCTTACTGTGCAACAAGCGAATATCTTGACATCGCTCACGAAACTCAAGAGCTTAGCCCTAGACGCGTGCTCTTGGAATATGGTAGACGCGTTACCTGACTGGACGCGTCGAATGAGTTCGAATTTGACTACATTGACCCTACACGTAAGTTGTCGCGTCCTGTATGACCCAGTGCGCTCAATGCATGAGTAGGGGATCCAAGACCTCAACGAACCGATACTAAGCGACATGCTTCCAAACCTACCCAACCTGACCGGCCTCTACATTGTAGGGTGTGCGAAGATGGAACATGGAATGATACTGCAGGCAACACGACACACTCCGAAGCTTGAGAATCTTGCTCTCACTGCTTGGGTAGCCCTATCACCGCGTTCCTAGACATTCATTTGAGCTAACATCTACCAATTAGGATTCCGCAGCATTGCCTGCAGTACTCGCTGACTTGCCCCACCTGCGCCATCTCGCCCTCGACACGCATATAGCCCCCATAGTCAACGGTTTGCCCAATACGAACTCCCCTTCGCTATGGCCAGCGATGATCGCGCTGACGAAAGCCTGGGGATGTCCCCTCGCGTCCATCACGCTGCGCCTCTCCGACAAGGTCTCTCTCTCGCACTCATTCGTTGTGGAGCTGCTTAACGCGCACGGTACGACGCTCGAGCACGTCGCGCTGATCAACGTCGAACCCGCGTGGGAAAGCGTGCGCGCAATCGCGATGAAGGCGAAGCGGCTGGACAGGCTAAAGATGCATATCCCGATCAAGGATGTCGTGAGTGCCGACCTTATACTTCGCCCTGTCAAGTTCTCACTAGCCACAGAAAGTATTCTCCACTGTTCTCGGCCGCAGCAAGACGCTGCAGACTATTACGGACATCGGCGATGCGCACACGACGCATGGCTCGCAGGCGGCGTTCCTGACGCGTGACAGGGTACGGGCAATGATGAGCGAAGTGTCGAACTTAAAGAAGCTTGTTACCTCCGACCGTATCTGGACAGTGCGTGTCTCTACGCCCCTTCTCGTTGATGATGTTGACACAGCGTCTCAGTGCACGAAGAGAGGCGACTGGCAGAAGCGAACGCTGCACATCAAACTCGAAAAACGCAAGACCTCGTGCTCGAATTATTGGTTTCACTCACAATAGCCCCGGTCGTGCCTGAATTCTGCATGCACGGTACTGAGGGGAGGTTGATCGTACTTTAAAGTGTCCTGTTAAATACTTTATGCTACCATACATGCAGATAACCGAGAGGTTATTATCCTGCTCGTTTACTAATGAGTAATGCGTAGTCACGTCCAGCCCTGATATTGAACGGAATGTCCCCTGTCAAATGTCAAGAAAGCTACTGCTCAATGAACGTCCGATGCTCCTCAGGTACAGCCAGCTCTTGGCGGTATTCAGGAACGACGTCCTGCGCGACCCTGTCCACAAACAGCTCCAAGGACGCCGTGTCCAGGCCCTCAAACGCGCTGCGGATCGCGGCATCGCGGTTCTTCTCCGACATCACGACGTTCAGCATGCAGATGCGGTGTCCATCGTCTGCGCGGGCCTGCACCATCGCGGTGACCGTCTCCCAGATCCCGGCGTACGGAGGGAAGACGCGGAGCATGTCGAGTTGTGGCGCAGGGTAGGCCCCGCCGCCGCCCGTGCGCAGCGCACCGAGCCACTTGTCCATCGCCGTCGGTGGCAACCAGAGCGCAAGCCTCGCGAGCACAGGCATCGCGCCAAAGAACCCGCGCCAGAACGCCACGTCGTGGAGCTCGATGCCTGCGAGCGCGAGCGACTGCACGGCGTGCAGCGGGAACAGGAAGCCGAGGCTCGGCGCGATGCCCTCGATGACGTCCAGGTCGTGCTCGAACTTGAGCCGCACCGTCGTGCGCGCGCCGGTCGCGACCACCTCGGCGCTGTCGTAGCGGATATCGAGCGCCGTCACGGTCTCGAGCGGGTACAGCCGCGACGCGGCCTTGGAGGGGAAGATCGTCGTGAGCGGCCGGTCGCTCGGCATCCAGTCCTTGCAGACCAGCGCGAGCTCGTCGTGCCCGAGCTCGATGCGCGCGAGGACGCTACTGACGATCGTCGCGTGACAGCCGACAAAGGCCAGGCGGCGCAAACGGTACATGGGAAGGAAGCGTTCGTCTGTGAGAACTGGACCTTCATGCGCAGAGTCAAGGTCGCAGTCCGTGAGAGATAACTCTTCCAGATTTAGACTCGCTTGGAGTAATGCGAAAAGATGGCTGAGGTCACTTGTCTCGCGATAGATTTGGTGGGAAAGTTGGAGAACGACAAGGTTCTCGAAGCGGTTTGTCGAAAACGAAGTGAACAGGCCAAGGTGGAGATGGCGCAGGGCGGGCGTATTTCCGGCAAAGAGCTCAGGCAGCTCGTCGGGAAGGTCTTCGCCAGCCCAACGCTTGTCAAGCAGGTAAGGGCTGATTTGGATGTGCAATGTCTGCAAGAGCGGCGCTTCGTGGCGTAGATGTCGGAGCTGGTCGATCTCGAGTAGGTCCGTGACGCGCAGCTGTCTCAGACGCGATGACCGCGCGGCAAGCGTCTCCCAGACTCGGGTATCTACCCCTCCGTCGCATCTAATCTGCACGTCCAGTGGAGCGCCGAGTGAGCGCCGCAGACACTGGTACGGCAGACTCGACTCGTTGACAATGTCCTCTGGCTCGAACACGATCGGGCTCCACATGAAGGGAAACCCGAGAGCGCTCTCGCGCCAGTACTTGCAGACGTGGGTGATGGGGACCCACTCCCTGGGGCTCGCTATCCCTGCAACGGTGGCAGGGGTCTTGGCGGACTCCGTGAGGCACCCAAATATTGCTGTGAGGATCTCCGGGGGCAGGGAGTTGACGGGCGACATGGAGTTGCGGAGCACCCGAACACGGGATAGCGCAACTGATAGTGCGCCATCGATACCTTGAATCTGCAGAGAAGTAGCTGTGAGTTGCTATACACACCGCTCTCTAACGATGACATACCAATTTGAGGGTCAAAGCCTCTGATAGGCTGGAGTCGCTCTATGTGAGGTTTCGCAGGCAACCACGACATGAATCTCCCAACACACCTCTTGTAGCTGCCCGTAGTGAACGCAAGCGAGTCGATTCGTTGTGTGATATCCTGCGCGAGTGCTGCGATGGTGTTGAGCGCCGTCATTGGGTTTTCGACGGTCATTGAGGGGGGAAAGCCCTTGGCGGAGCGTTTGGGGGGAAGAGATTGAGGCGTGAGGACGCATGTGTCGAGCACCGTCGCTAAGTACCCCCAAAGACGCCCAGCGGCGTTTGACGCAAATCGAGTCGCGATGTCGGTCTACCGGTGGCGTTCCGCCGCAGTGTTTCTGACGTAGCCAAGCTCAGACCAGCTGTTTTCGTTGGTGGGCCTCAAGGATTATGTCGTGCTGTGCATACTCCGTGCAGTGAGTTTAGCATGAGCGGGCCGACAAGAGCCTTCCGCAAGTCTGGGGCGCCGAGTGGGTAGCACAGGGTGCCCATCATGCTCGCGGTCTGTGTTAGACTAGGAGCTTTCCTGTCTGGGTGCCGGACTTTCTCACCGCTCTGGAGGTGAACGTTCAAGCATTCAAACTTTGCACGCTAGCATTCGCGACGCAGGCACCGTCAACCTGTTTTCGCAACCTGGACGCCGATGCGGTGAATTTCCTGCCAGCTCCGGAGCATCTCCAGTAATGGATTATGCCAAGGAGGTTTAATCTAGAAAGCGATGTCATGTGACCCTTTTTAGAGTTTTGAGCAATAGCGCGTGGAAACTTTCCATGCCTTTAGACACATAAATTCGGCCGCCACGGGGTCGCTACTTCAGGGAATGCTTGGTCGCAACAATATCCGTAACACATGACAGCTGAGTCCATTTCGCACCTCTGAGCACGAAATAGTCAAAGGCCGCGCACAGGCACTGAACGTGAACGCTCACTTTCGTTATTAGCGAAGAACGGCGAATTCTCTCATGAGGCTTGAGCAATGAATGTATGCTTCATATCGAAGGCACTATAAACCGAAAGAACAGTAATTGCAGCCCAGACATATCCATGCGGAGAAAGCGTCGCGTCCGGCGGACATCAAAGCGCATACCCATATTGGGGCACTTCCATGCCTCGTGCATTCATGTGTCCCTCTCAAACCTTCAAAACGGTCCAAAGCCTGTCAGGCGAGCGGACGATCTCTTGACCTCAACCACCATGTCGGACTCGCTGTTCGTTCTTGTTTCCGCAAGGTTGCTCTCCGGCCTGTACTCCTCGCTTACCTCAGGCCTGCTGAATGTCGGAATCATGGTCTGGGACAGCGGACTCGCAATCTACAACCTCGTGACCTGGAATCTCCCCGCCAACGCCGTCGTGCCCCAGGGCTGCGCAGGCGCACTTGGGGTGTGGCCCGAGTACGTTCCACCCCAGGAGGGCGATAGTCGATGCTCGTGTCCGGCGCTGAACGCCATGGCGAATCACGGTGCGTGGGAACTTGATTGGCGTCCTGTGCTTCTCGGGCCGCGCGCGGGCTGCAGTAATGACTTTGTTCAAATGGACCGAGCTTTTAATACGCTATGCTCGTCTTTGTTCGGCTATCCGGGGCGTAGCCTATGTCGCGTGAGCGGACGTGACAAAGACCTGGAAAAGCGCATTTCCGCACCGAAGTAATGTCATGTTCCGCAGCTCGCGTGACCTATGTATTCCCCAATTACTTTGACGACGCTAACGGTGCCGGCCCTGCAGGAATCTTGCCCCACTCAGGTCGCGGAATTAGCTTCAAGGACCTATCGGCAACGATTAGACAGACTTACAACTTTGCCCCAAGCTTTTGCCTCTTCGTCCCCAACTATGCCGCGAACATGCTGTGCCGCAACTACTGGACTGACACCTTCGATTTGAGCGACCTTGACGTACATAATTGCATTGAGCACGATGGGTCCTTGACTCGTACGTGCATTTACATGAAATGGTCCAGTGATAGGGCACCTACGTCATTTGTTTGCAGGCGAGGACAGCGTCGACCAGCCTGACCAAGGAAAGCCGGTTCGGCATCTTGTCGAGGAGTTGCTGGCGTCCGGTACAGGTCCCAACGGAGACCTTACCCCAGCAGATCTCTCGCGCATCTCCGGGAAGAGGCGCATGGAGTCCAAGAGGAGGAACGGACAATTTAGCCTCACGACCTTCCACAAGTTTTTCGGCAGTTCCAAGTGAGCACAGTTCATGTACTCTGATCGTGCTCCTCAAATTAATGACTTGGCAGCTCTTCCACGATGCTGACGATCCTCGGAGGCAGAGTGAAGGATCTGCGCCCCTTTCTCCTGGAGGAGCGCATTCCGGACGGCTGGCAGCCACGAATCCGGCATCGTATGGGGCTGACCATGGCGGAGTTCAACAGCACCGCGTTGCGGGTCGAGTTTGGGATCACGGAAGAAGTATACGGGGACACGTCAAATGCCGCACAAAAGAAGAAGACACTGTAAGGGGGACCTGGACCCCGTGGTGTTACGCATATCCGTGGAAGGCGTGCAAGAGGGAGGGTCTCACGCCGCTGTCGTCAGGGAGTTTGAACGGGGCTTTGAGGGTTGCAGGGGGATATGCGTCATATCTGATTGTGCTCCCGCGAACATGCAGACTGTGTCGAAGGGTATACTTGTATTGTATTATGATTGACGTGCATTCCGCGCACTTAACATCGAACGCGCCGATCTGGCCGTGTCCGCCTGCAACATGGGCATAAACAGCAGAGTACGTGACTATGTGCTGCTCATCCAAGCCAAACAATTCTCAGTGCGAAATACAAAGCAAAATTGGAACTACGCACTGAAGATATTAATTGTGCATTGCCTTGCCTCGGTGGAAGCATGAGAGACGACTCGGTCGCCAAGACAACTGCCGGACGCCACGAAGATCTTGATAAGCGCTTAAATAGGCCTGAGTCGAACCGAGCCTGTTGACATCACCACCTTCTCTCTCCACACATCTCCCATCGATGTCGTATTACTCAAAGCCCTTGTACAATATGCAATCTTCAGCGATCCATATGAATGCAATACTTACGTCAAAACACCCTTGCAACCTTGGGACGTTCGTCTGTCAGGTCAGGTCAGATCACTTCAAAGCCCGAAATGACTTCCGTGCATGGTTGTGGTAGAAGCTGGACTGTGGCGATTGGGGCCAATGATTCTATATTGTGCTAGGCTACGCGACATGAGGTCTCCATGAATATGTTAGGGTCTCCCTAGCCGTGGCTACCAGCAACGACACGCCCCACGCTGCTTGGACGCTCGACCACATGTGGAACCAAACATCCGCCAAGAGCTATCTCTAATGTGGCGCGACCCTCATAGAAGCAGAAGCTTACGGTCATATGTGCAAGCTTATAGTTCATAGACCTGCAGAAGTAAGGTACAGGCTCGGGCTGTGTCAACTTTTCTATCGGCGAAACTTCCGGGCCTCATTGTCTCCACGTGCCGACCCTGGAGTCAAGACGCATTGCAGAGGCATGGCTAACCCTGCGCACTCATAATATCGTCCGGCACGAGCTGATACCCTATCGATACCCATTCGCTTCCCCCCATCTGCCTTGACGGTGGACGACATGTCGTCGGTCTTCAGCCCTACCACAGCGCTTTCGCCGGCTACCGAGGCCAACTACGCCAATGCGCTTCCCCAATACGGCTTCGGACCTCAAGTAACTTTCGACGGGCTGGTCTCGGGCAACCCCTTCCTCTTCCGAGTCTACACCCCGCACGGGCATCCCCCACAGTACGAGAGCTCTGACCCATACTTCGTCGGTGCAAAATATGACGACGCCTTCGCGTCGGCGACCTTCCGCTCTAGGGGCCCAGAACCAACATCTTCGCGCACATCCGCCGCTTGTACGTATGCGGACGTTATCCAGCACCTCGATTGGACGCGGCGCTCCGAGTCGCCGTACATCTCGACGTCGTTCAGCTTCGCGTGGGCGATCTGGGAGGCTATAAGGCGCTACCACAACGGGGTGAAGCACGATGTCGAGATTGCGGTTATCGACGCTAGAGCCATAGCAGACCATGCGATCACGGCTGTGGAACTGCTCATGAAAGCGAGCCCCAAAGAGTGAGTCTTGAGTTCCCTTGGATTGGATTTAAACGACTGACAGTTATGCGCTTCAGACGACACCGGGACCACTGGAAGTGGTACCGTTACGCCCTTGAATCTCAGGATGTGCTCGTTTGGGGTCATATCCCAGGGGACGCCGTTCTTGCCTCTATCCCCCTCCTTCAAATCCTCGGCAAACTCCCCTCGTACTTCCTCTACCACGATATCGCCGACGCGAAAGACTCGCCCCTCTTCAAACTCGGCTGGGACTTCACAAAGAAGAAGCCGAGCTACCGCCAATTTTGCCAGGCCATCACGGACCGCTTCATGCAGATGTCTGTCGACCGCAGGCTGCGGGACACGACCGCGGGTTCGGTGCGTCTCGCGCTGGCGCTACTCCGGCCGCACTTCCACCAGCACATCTCGGACGATTTCACGACCGCGACGCAGCGCGTCTTCGAGCTCTCGTACGTGATCGCGCAGTGGCCGGGCCAGTGGTGGACGCGCGAGCACCCCGAGATCCCCGACCTCGTGCGGTGCGTCGTGCACATGATCGGCGAGGAGATGCGCGAGGCGCGCCGCGTGCAGGCGCTCGCGGACGCGACGAAGATGCAGGACATCGTCGGCGGGCTCGAGCAGCTCGCGCAGGCGCACGAGGCGCGCGGCAGCCGCGACGGCAGCCGCCCCCCGCGCAAGGTTCTCGCGAACATCAGCCTCTCGCCGCTCCCGTCCCCCTCGCCCACCCTTCCTCCCTCGCCCGCGTCGAGCGATCTCAAGCGCCATTTCCGGCTCGGATCTGTGGATATTATTACCGATGACATGCGCGAGGCGAAAGGCACCCAGACGGATGCGGAGTTGCCGCGAGAGGAGGTAGTGGTCCCCCAGGAGCGCGCCGAAGAACTGCCGAGACCGGCCCCGAAGGCCTCGCCTCCTTTCGTACAAGCGACATATACACATCGAGCGATGGATGCCTTCGCACGGACGACGTCTTGCTTCCTGACCGGGCTGCTCGTTGGCTCCTTCATCACACTATGCGTCCTGGCGCCAGACAGGCGTCCAATTATGCATCATTTGACATGATGACTTCCCTTCGTTCCCTTCTTGGTCTCTGCCAAGGACCGACCAAAAATCATCCACACATTTCTCTAGGGTTATAGCGTGATTAAATATTGGGTATTTATCCTCGACCGTAGTCGACTATAGTCCCGACTCCGTCCAAATCGCATGTATACCAGTTCTGTATCGTTGCCCCATGTAATCTAGGCCTATGGTGCTATGTAGACAAGCTGTATAACGATTTGCTATTCTGTACAACACATACCCTGCAAGGCCAATATCAGGTGTCTATTTTTTTTCATCTCAGCTTCACATTCTTTGCATGATGGGTTACTCTCTGCCGACTAGTAAAGCTTAGCAAATATCATCTCGGTATATTTATCCATTTAGTCACTATCATACATGTCTCGATAGTACGTGCCACCGGGAATATCCTCTTCATCGTATCCAAATATCCCAACCTCACCGTGCGAGTTGGGTACGACGACGGGAGTCATTGATGAAAATCCAGTTTGAACTATTCGCGAAGATCGCCCAGCTTTCTGCTCGCGTCGGAGCTGCCAGTGCTGCTGGGCTTTCGCCTGCTGCTCCTGTTTACGCTTTCCCTCCTGTGATTCCTGCTGCTGCTGCTCTCGCTGCGCCTGCTGCTTCGCAAGCACCTCGGCATCGTGAATCTTGACTGCGCAACAGACCAAGCAGGTCTGCACCATGCTGTCGTCACGAGGCTTCCGAGCGAAGCAAGGCAGGGCCAGCTCGCGTGCGCAGGACTTGCAGAGCTGGCTGGCGGGCCGGCCGTGTGCCACCACGAGGATGTCGAGAGGCAGGAGTGGGTGCCCGGAGTTTGGTGGCGGCGGGCCGGCCCTGCGCAGTGTCATGTACCGCGCACTCTGCGCGAGCAGCTCCGTCTCGTTGATATAGCCCCTCTGAGAAAACAGCAGGAAGAGCTTGGAGATGAGCTGAATGTCCTTAGCGGCGTATTGGATATGCTTCTTCCACAGCGGACGTTCGCTCCATTTGTTATGAGGAAAAAATCCTAGAGTGGATGCTGTCGTAAACGTCTCATAAGTTCCAGTAGCCGGCAACTTACTGCTTTTGCCCTTCTCCTCGGAGCCGACAGCGCCATGCTCAAGGGCACTTGCCCCGAGGCCATTCAATCGATGGACCTTGGTGTACGATGCGTCTTTAACTTCCCCTTCACTACAGAAAGGAGGAAGTCTAGCCAGCTGCTGCTCCTGTGTCTCATTCCTTGCCTTTCTGGACTCGATGTCCGCCAGCTGAAGGTCGAGCACGCGGACGAGCTCAACCTCGTGGCGGTGGTAGAATTCGCACCAGTCTGATCGTGCATCGTACATGATCTTCGTGTGCTGGTCGGACCGTAGCAGGTTGTAGATGGGCTGCAGCTGCTGGTCGTTCAGCTTGATCGCATCTATGAGGTAGATGCGCGGATCCGGATCGGCCGACGTGGGGAGCGCGGCGAGGGAGATGATGGACAGGCTTCCGCTTTGCGATCCAAGTTCGGATCCTTCACAGTCGCAGACAATGTAGCTGGACGAACGCAGAGCATCGGCGGCTCTGTTCATGCTAGATACATTGTCGCAGAGCGTGCCGAGCAGATTTGGACGCCTGTCGTTGCCTCGTCGTCCACGATTTGCCATGTATGGACTCTGCGGACGTGGTCAGTCCAGACATGAAGGTAGAATTTATCATGATGCACACTGTATCGTTTATTTATGTTGTTTTGAAGCTTGAGATATGGTGGCGGTAGAGCGGAGAAGGGAAACGTGATCCATGTGAATTTGCTACCGATTAGTGTTGCCACGGCTTGGCGCGGCTTGGCTGTGACTTGACTTTGGACGGCTTTTCCTTTTTGGGATCAGCCGAGTCAAGTCAAGCCGCAGTGCAGCCGCGACTATAAGCAACCTTTAATCCGTGTCGGGATACCAGACCGTCCCGATGCATCTCCGGGACCTCGGCCACCTTTGCTCGCTTGCCGGCGCCATCTGGCACCGCCAGGTCGCTCGCCTGCCGTCGCACGCGCGCCCTCGTCTCCCTGCCGTCCGTTCTCGCGCAGTAGGCAGCCGACCGTGTAGTGTACCATGTAGCTACCGTAAATACATGTTTTTGCTCGCACGAGACGGCCTCGGGAGCATGCAGGAGGGGCGCGCGAAGGCACGCGAAGCGTGCGTGAGAGCGCGCACCCATTGCCGTCCCGTCGCGAGGCAGATAACGAGCCGATGGCCTTGTTATCTGCCTCGTGGCGGCTAATCCGGTGTCTCGACACGCATCTCGCAACTTATGGCCTGTCGAGACACCAGATTTTGGCTGGGCCATCAGCGTGCCATCAGCCATCGGGTGTCTCGACAGGAGATAAGCTGCTGGGTCCTGTCGAGACACCCGATGGCTCCCATCTTATCTGCTGGGACAGCCGGCGGCCCTTCGCGCATCCCGCGTGCGCGCCCGCCGTGCGCCCGCGTCGTGTCCCGCCGTGCTGTCCGCTTCGGGCGCCCTTTTTCCCACAGCTGTCTCTGCATACCTCTGCATGGCGGCCGCTGTTCTCTCGGCCTCCCTTCCTCTCTGGCACACTCTTAGACACCTGTAGCACTTTCTGTACATAGCAAGGTAGACTGTCAG